GAACGCATTACGGACTTCACTGGATTCTATATTCAGAGACTACGGCAAACATAGTCAACAGTATGTAGGTCACTAGCGGGACTGAAGCATCACATACGACACAAATATCAAAACTGAATGAAATTTTCGGATCATGATACGTCGAAGTCATACGTCGTGGGTTTATCTTTAAAAATTTATGTATAAAACGTGCTTAATATATAGAATGGCCAAAGACTTCAACAAAATTTAATGACAACTCTAAAAACAGTAAACTTTGGATGCAAGAATAGCAATAATCACGTTCCCAGACGAACACAAATTACAAAATAAAAGATCAGAACTTATCTCAAAAAGCAGTCATGAAAACAAATTTTCATTGGTTACTTAAAAACGGAAAACGAAGTATTGATAAAAAATGCAAATCTATGTATTGCATACAATGTAGATAACTTAATATATGTAAAACAACTACCTTAAACAAAACCAATTGAATTAGATACCAGCAAAATATATAAATAAAAGAAATAATAAATGGAAAAACTGTACAAATAAATACTCAAGAACAACTATATACATTTAATACTACTACTACTAATAATAATAATAATCAGTAGTAAATAAGTATGGAATAAATACAAAATTCACTGACGTAACTAATTACTCTCTCTCAACCTCCTGTCCTTCTCTGTCTTTATATATATATATATATATATATATATAGATAGATAGATAGATAGATAAGGAGACAGAGAGATAGACAGACAGACAGAGAGGGAGAAGCTTACGTCTTTGAATATAACTTTGGAGTCTTTATTTTTTGTGTCCACTTATATATATATATATATATATATATATATATATATATATATATATATATATATATATATGTATGTGTGTATGTTTGTGTGTGTGTGTGTATACATTCTATCCAAAGTATTGATTATTATTCAACCACAATTATAGCAAATTTTAAGTAATATAATTATGTATACACACGTGCGCACAGACACAAGCATATATATATATATATATATATATATATATATATATATATATATAGACACAAGCATATGTATATATATATATATATATATATATATATATATATAGAGAGAGAGAGAGAGATAGATAGATAGATAGATACATAGATAGATAGATAGATAGATAGATAGATATAGACAAAATTATTTAAACTTAACAAAAAAGTGGAAACACTAGATTTAAAATAACCGCTTTCCAGCCATGATTAGTTATAATTAATTGCCGTTAGAATAACAAGTGCCGCCTATTTATTAGCCGTTAGAATAACACAATAAACAGGAAATAACTGACTTTACTAACCATAATACACAAATGTCTAATATATATAGATAGCCAGAAGGTAGGGTTCTAGCAAAAACTGTTGCCATTTCATACCTATATGTTTAAAAATATGTCGTTGTCTTTATATATATATATATATATGTGTGTGTGTGTGTGTGTGTGTGTGTGTGTGTGTGTGTGAACCACGAACGGAATGCAGCGTCATATCCCGGCCCGATGTCTGCTTACTGAGTGAATTCCATCGCTGATTTCTCTGCATAAATCTCAATGTACACTGGAGAAAGATCCTGAGAATACCACCAGTTCTCAAGGGTGGGAGCGCTACACGTGTTGACCATGTTCGCCAAATCTATGAATATAGAATACAGCGCAGTACGTAATCTGTTCAATAAAACAACTTTAAAGATTAATACTCCCGAGTCAGACACTCTACAGAATCTGACTATATCGCCAATACTACCAGCAGCTGTTCCGTAATTCTTCAGTCTTCGATATCAGAGGTTGGCAGTGAATATTCGGAAAAAAAATGGCTGCCTTTATTCACGTCGCATTGAATATTTTAAGCCTTCTGATTGGTTAACCCTTCTATTGGTGAAGTATAAAATGAGTCAGCTCATTTTGATTGGCTCACTAGTACACAGAGTACCCAAAAATTCCAACAGAAAGAACAAACGAAATATTGGGACTCCTTTAAAAGGACCCTAATGTATCCTGCAGCATCACCTCCCGTCAGTAGAGAACAAAGGATTCCGGTCGTATATCAACGCGTATTTCCGGAGTAAACAGTAAACAGTAGAAGAGGCTGAAAGACGGGAGTTTACGCTCATCGATGCGATTGTGAGACCGTTTTGTGTTTGTGTGTGTGTGTGTGTGTGTATGTGTGTGTGTGTGTGTTGGCTGCGGCAAATAGTTTCACATATAACTCCCAGCTAATGGTAAGACATTAGTGGCAATCGTGTCTTCATCTCGCTAAAGTCTTACCATTATGTGAGAGATATTTCTGTCGCATCTATCTCTCTCACTCTATATACATTATGAACATATATATACACACATACATACACATATATATATATATGTGTGTGTGTGTGTGCATATATATATATATATATATATATATATATATATATACAGTGGCCTAAGAAAAGTTTTAACCAAGAAAATAAACTACATCCAAATTCAAAATTTAATTGCATAATCCCAACTCAACATAAATAAACAGTATTTGGAACGAATATGAAGTAGGTCCTCCATTTGCTTGTTTCAGTGCTTGAGTTCGATTTTTTGTGCAGTGCAGTCTATGAATACGTGTACTATGAAGGCAAGTGGTCGTTTTATAATATAGTGAGACGATGTTCATATGTCTAATTCTTGATCTTCTCATCTACCTAAACACGCCCTTTGACCGGAGATCATTACACCACACGACGTTGCATATTGAGAATATAGCTGTATCTGCCACAACAAGAATGTATTATTTTTGTATGATAAAGCACCGTGTCATCGGGTCTACAATGAATTGGTTTCACTAACATTCTCGTTTGCCCGACATGAGTTCAATGTGATAGAATGTCTTATTCGCACGCAACAGTCTGTATCTGTAAATATCAAGGGATTGTGAACGGTTATCGATACGATATGGCTTAATGTCTCTCCAGATCATAAATTGATGTCACCTGGGAGTTGCCTTCTTCTACGTACCATCTGCATAACTTTTGTCACGTCATTCTAATTCTGAGAAGAATGCTCGCCAAATCTAATAAACTTTTTTTCTACGACAATGTTTACTCGAATAATGTTACATATTTTTTCTGTTCTCCAAAAACTCACTCAAGCTGCTAGAAAAGTTCTGTAGAACAGATCGACCAAAGCGTTATGGTTGCAAAATATGAATAAGTTTAGCCAAGTCTAGTTATAGGTGAAAGATGGAGAAATAGGACCGAGAATGATTATTATATTTCTTTTAATAAGGAGTACCTGACGACCTAAAATGATTGTAGTTACTCCTAGCCTTTTTACTCTGCATTAGTCAGCTCGGTTGACAACTGGGCTACAACTTCACCAAAACCTGTGCTACACACCGTCATTCTGGCTGGAGAATAATTGACAACTAAGAATTAACAAGAAGTAACAAAACAACCCACGTGTTTAACGCAGGGTTAATTGAATACTGACTTCAAATACCGGTTAAAAGCAAACACAGAAATATGTCGATATTTACTCAGTGTATGTCTCAAATTTAATTATCCCCGACTAGTGGCACTGATGAAAAATACGTAACTTTCGCAAACAGGAAGCTTGTCGCGATATTTTTTTTTTTTTAATTAAACGCTTCCAACTTTCTTAATTTTCTCTGCTAAACAAACTGTGTTGTCTTCTGAACATCAATGTTCAGTCAGCTGACAGCATCACTTTCTGGTATCTATCGATAGGATATTCGGCGGTGAATGTAAACTGCGGTAGCAAAAATTAAATAATGAGATTAAATACTGTTATTTTTCTACAGTTATTGCTCATGCAGAATTTAATATTCTGAGTTGCGCTTCGAAGTTATTTTTTTTAAAGCTTGCTTTTGAGAATATACTTTTCTTTCAGATAACTTCATATATATATATATATATATATATATATATATATATATATATATATATATATATATATATATTTCTTAGTATGTTTAACGATTTGTAATGTCTTCTTTGATTTACTTGTTTTGAAGTGTTAATGTTTACCATGTCAAGGAATTATATTATATTTGCCTCTTTACAAACGGCAAATATTATGTGCTTTCAATGATTGCAGTGAGATATATCGCCAAATTATCCCAGTGAACGCTTTCTTATCTTCGCTGTAATGTTTCATAATGGATTATATGTTTCACTTTGAAATAATCGTGATCAGGCGAAAGCTATTTGTTCTTTATATACGAAACACAAATATCAAAGCTAATGTTAAGTGGCTCTCTTAATAATTAATGCATGAATAATTCCCCGAGTTATATATTAAATAACAGACTAAAATGCACTCCTTACCAATGGATGGCAAACAGTCTAGAAGGAAGGTGAATTATGGTTATCATCATCAACAATGTTCTCAGTGATTCAGGCTCAATTTTCTTGCGTTAATTTTCACATAAATGCAATTTGGGGAAGGCATGAACCCGCATCTTCTCTTTTTTGATATAGAGTAACTAGTAAGGTAGATTGAGCTACTTTGGTGGCACCCAGTCAAAGATAACAAAAAAACCATATGACAGGAAAAAGGTAGAGGGGGAAAACGGCAAACTAATGCATTATCTTTCTCGAGAAGTTACAGCAATTTACAGATAGTAAAATGAAGTTGTGGAGAGTCGTGTTTGCTTACGTCTGAAATAAATCATGTCTGTCACCTAAACAATAACCATCCTCTTCTCTTCCAAATTATTGGTTAATTAGTATGCCGTATTTTAGTACATCTTTATTATCTCCGAAGAAGTTTTACAATCTAAACATATTTTCGGGATTTAAATAACATCTAAAAGGCTGATAAGCCGTAAAAATAGACATCAAACGCCTGTCATCTAAACAATAACTATATGGAAAAAGAATACAATTGATGTAATTCCCTGCAAGATAAAAGTTATTTAAATCTTAACATTAAAGAAAAAACGTCACAAGCTTCAGCCATTGCAGTCTTAATATTCCTTTGAATGAGGCTTACGGTCATATCACGTTGAAACCCCGTTTCTCGTACGATCAACGGAGTTAAGCAACATCGAGTCGAATCAGTATCTAGATGAGTGACTACTTGGAAATAACAGGTGCGGTAAACTTGGATAACGGTTCGGAGTTTGAAGTCGGAGAGCATAGTCCCAATTTCAGTCGGGTTACTTATATTCACTTATGTGCAAATACCAATGAACCATCCTCTTCTCTTCCAAATTATGGGTTAATTAGTATGTCGCATTTTATTACATCTTTATTATCTCCGAAGAAGTTTTACAATCTAAACATATTTTCGGGATTTAAATAACATGTAAAAGGCTGATAAGCCGTAAAAATAGACATCAACTAGTCAATCAATCATTCCTTAGAACCACTAAACTCAGTTCGGCTATCATCCTAAGTGAAGAAATCACCGGCCGAAAACGTAGATCCATGTTAGTTTAAGCTCGGTCTACACGTCTCTTGGAGACGACACGTGAATCCCAAATTTACAGGCTGTATACCGCAATGAGAATTCCTTTCTTCCCCGTAAATATTCCAGCGTCGCATTAAAAGAAATTGTTTTTCATTTCCCTGTAAGTGAACTAGTAAGTGGATTTTTTACTTGTTCCACGTCGCTACCGAATGTGACTTCAGGTCGATGTTTAAAGTGGGTTTAACGGCAATGCTGTGGGAAAAAAATGCTCAAGCCTCCTAGACACTTCCCCATTTGGGGATGCCTCAGGCGCCGGGTAATGATCCTAGCCCTCTCCCGATGGTGAGATATTGTCTCGGGAGCATGCTCTCCCGAGGCTTGAGCTTAATATTATTTTGAAATTTTCCTGGTGCTAGCTAACTGAACTGAAGAACAGGTATTAAAAAGACAGAAGACAACGATTGACAGATGATAACGATTTACATTAAATTTTTGAAGTTCAAAGTTGAATGGAAGACCGGAAGAGACTTCCACAAGCCAGAAGTGCGAGAGAATAAAATGTTAGCATGGGGCGTAAGCTTACACCTCGCCAATGTTAAGACTTAGGCTGATAATCTAGTACTGTGCTTAAATGTGTAACGTCAAGGTTCCGAAGAGTAACGCGCATTGGTAGATTCTTCTTCTTGGGAAATATATCCGTATGATTTCCTCTTATCTTCCTAATGTTTTAGAATTCAACGTTTTCATCTCTGTGTCGATTAAGATTAGAGAGTTCAATCTACCAAATTATTGTAGCCATAGATTGGGATAAGCGATGGTTTTATTCGTTTTTTTTTTTTTCTTTTTTCAAAAGAGCTTAGTGTGACGTCACAGCAACAGTCATAAAATTTTTATTTGGCTCACCGGTAATCGATACGCTACGCGCACGTCATTTGTGTCAGGGCGTTCTGAAATAAAAAAGGAAGATTATGTTTTGTTTAGCTGCAAATAGTCGGAACTGGTTCCAAAGAGAATGGCATAATTGCTTTTATGTTGGAATTATTAATGACGTCGATTATGTCATTAATAAAATTAAACTTAATTACATTTGCATTAGCTACGGTCTCCTTCTGTATCCTAATTCACTTTTATGAGAGCATGTCTGTTTAAGAAAAGTTCTTTTTTCATGGGGCCTTCCGTCCATATCACGTTGAATCACCGCTTACCGTCCATATCACGTTGAATCACCGCTTACCGTCCATTCACTGAAGCTAGGAAACAGTTTATTTTCAGGACATCCATTTCTATATAAGAAAATAAACCAATCATTACTTTTTTTTTCAACAACAGGCTGTATCTAATACTAAACGGAGTATCGACAAGGAACGCATTTAGTAATGGTTCTGTTTCAAAACACAGTTTAATATAAAAGAAAAATGCACATGTTTAATTCTATAACACCCCAGTGCTCCAGTGATCACTGGTACCGTAATTAATTTCATTCCTTGTCTTTCTCAAGCTTTCAGAATTTCATATTTTAAGTCTTTGTAGGTTCCAGGTTTCTCCTTTTCTTTGTGTGCAATTCGCGTGTCAAATAGGCAAGAGACATTTAATAGCGAGCAAATATTTGTTTTTTTTTTTCTGCTTGTCCAGTGTGACTGTATATGATATATTGTTCCCTCAAGTGTGTATCGGAAGATCCCACAGGATTTCACTTTGCTCTTTTCCAGCATCTTTTGTCTCCTTTCTAGTCAGAGGTTTCATAATCTCACCAAATTAAAACCCGTACTTTTTACACAACTTCTAATCATTGATATTATTATTATTATGAATATAGCATGGCATTGTTGCTGTGTCAGGCAGTATCTTCATTTGCGGAGCAGGGAAGATACTGCCTGACAAATCCCATCAAGGATTTCAGAAAGTTTATTTTTCGAAGTATGGAATCCAATAAGGCAATTTTTTTTAGCGTTTGCAGTGTTTTCCAACAATTTGGTGATATATTGTTTAAAATTCAACGATGTAGTTATGTGCTCCAATTACTACCGGGATAACTTCAACACGTTCTCAGGTATTTTGCAATATAGCAATCTCATCCTTCAGAATATCTTTGGTTTGCTTTCTTCCATTCATTTCAGATATTATTATCATCATTATTATTATTATTATTATTATTATTATTATTATTATTATTTTATTTTCTTTGATTTCTGGTGTGTACGCATTTCTTACCGAATCATATCCAGAGACCTAAGGTTACAAATGGCATCATGACATTTTCCACTGACCAGTTAAAAAAAAAAAGAAACATATTTTAATTTTACATAGATGAAGCCCTTCGAAAGGTGAGGGGGTACTCGTGAGAACAATATCTGGTATTTCTTTAAAGTATGGATTCCAGGAATCCCTTCAATGAGTCTACTGAAATATTTTCCAACCAATCCGGGGGCTCCAACTTCAACAGGGATTGTTAATGTTCCCATGTGCCACATATTTGAGATTTCGATTCAAAGGTCCTTGAATTTTGATAGATTTTTGAAGATCTTCAAAGATACATTGCAATCTGCAGGGACTGCTATATCAATACGGAGGCACTTACTTGTGAGTACAATATTTTGTATCTCCAAAGAAATTTTAGGTATTTCTTCTCCTTTTTCTTCTTCTTCTCATTATTATTATTATTATTATTATTATTATTATTATTATTATTATTCCAGATATGTTCTTTCATACAAACTTTTACCAAATCTCCAGAGACGGTTTTCTTACGGTTTTATTGAACAATGAAGTTTTAGTGCAGAGTTATTAAGTCTGGCTCAAGAACATATTTACCATGGATTTTATTTAATATGTGTCATTGTTTTTTTTTCTTTTCCTAGTACTCATATTATTACTGGAATAATGGCTGTATTTAAATACCACTTTCTTGCAATTAATGTTTTCCCAGATTCTATATATGTTTCAGTCAACACATAGCAATTGCAACTCAGATATATATTATCATTTCATTACATAGACAGTGAGGTTAGCAGTCGATTTCACACTTAAAAATAATCTTCCTGGCCTGAAGTATGATTTCAAGGTTGAAAGGGGCTGCCGCTTTTATATTTACATACGTTCTGTCACTGATATTGAGCTCTTTTACCTCTAAATATAGCAGAGCCTAAAACAATATTTTTCACACACACACACACACACACATATATATATATATATATATATATATATATATATATATCGATGGAGGAAGACGAAAGAACATTCTAGATAGAGTGAATGAGTTACTGGCTGGATACCAAGTCGCTAGAGGCTAAATATTATAAGGTAAGTATTAATGAAAAGGATAGGAATTGAAATACAAACTTTTCTGTCATCGTTTGGGAACGACTGAAAAGAAAGCGAAAAATACAAATATATGAGCATCTTATTTTCATTAATTCCTCAGAATAAAACCCAAACATTGAAAATATCCAAAGCATATATATATATATATATATATATATATATATATATGTGTGTGTGTGTGTGTGTGTGTGTGTGTGTGTGTGTGTGTGTGTGTGTGTGTGTGTATATATATATATATATATATATATATATATATATATACACTCAAAGATATCCAAAATACACACACAAATATATATATATATATATATATATATATATATATATATATATATATATATACTCAATTTTTCCGATGCACTTAATTCAGCCAAGTATATTAATCATGTTTATAGATATAAAACTGAACATAAAAATGTGTATTCTTACTTTTCCCAATAGTATCACTGCCTAATGAACAGAAGATTCTAATACGGTATGTCACTTTCATTTTCCCTGCTGAGACCCGCTGGACTGTCTGCACACAGATTTGTATTCACAAACCAAATATATAACGTTTTTACGTGTTTCCAATGCAACTAGAAATCAGGGAAAAAATCGCTCTTAGTCTAGAAAGAGATTGGGGTGAATGGATGTTCACCATTAATAAGATGATTTAACATTAGTTTAACTCGACGAAAGTTTAGAGAAAACGGAAATAAAAAGGGAACGTTATCTTTGAAAATTTGATACTCACAAAACAGATTGAAGGATAGAAAGGAGTAACGCAAACCATACCTGGTTAATTTTCAGTAAATGGATGATAGAACATGGTTTAGGAGCGATAAAAAAGACAACATTTTTTTAAGGACTACAAAGGACAGGAAATTGGGAAAAGCTATTGTGGAGGACTTGTTATGTTGGGTCTTATAGTTGAAAGAATAAATTTGGGCTGCGTGTTCAAAGACATGTATCCTCAACACATTTATATTATACTTCAACAAAAATAAACAGAAAGGCATAGAACAATACTGAGAAAAGACCAAAGCGTTTATACTGAATAACAATCAATTTTGATTTATATTGTATGAAGCTTATAATATGTATTATAATAAACGTAGATTTATTTATTGAAATCTCGTATTGTTTATTAGTTTGATTAATGTTAAACTCTATGTGTGTGTGAATGATGCTTGTGAGTTTAACTGAGAGGTTAAATGATGCAAAGTTTCACAAAGTAGGGGGTAATAATAAACTGTTGATAAACAGTTTGTGTCAAATAATAAATCCATATTAGATTTGTGTAAATTTAGTTAGAATAAAGTTGTCTTCCTTTGACTGCACTTGATGAGACTTGAAGTTGGAATGTTCGTGAAAATTTGAAA